GTGCTATCAAGCACATCAAGCTTACCATAAATATAGTGAACACATTAGTCTTTTTATGCGAGTATCTGCTTTGTCATCAGATAAACATGATAATGCAAGTATATTTCAAGGCTTGGCTAGCAGAATGACATACTGCTTTAGCCTGTTAAAGCTTACAATTGATTGATGTGACATTTAGTCCTGAGCATGACAAATAAATCGCATCACATTTATGGCAGTCACCCATATCCAGCTCATTTGATAGCCTACTGTAGACAAACTCCACTGTCTCAGCAAGTCTGTATTCATTTGACATGATATTTCTAAATCAGGAAATTAGCATATAATACTGCGAAGGCAAGCAGACAGACAATGTAACCGAGCCTAGTGAAAGTCAACCAAGATTGCATCCATACTAGTTCTTACATCACAATAAACCACTGTTTTCCTTAAATGGTTCAGAAACCAATAAAGCCAACCCAGATTGTGGAGTTATCAATCTGAAGAAGTGCATGACACTTGACTAGCTCAAATATTCAATCAAGTCTCACATACAAAATCTTCACTCAATCGAACATCTTCACTTTGCATAGTATCTTGTGAAATATACTGTGACAAATCGGGCAGACACTGTCCTTGAAACAAACTTCCTGTTTCTAAATACTTTAGTGAAGTAAGGGCAAGCACCGTCCTTGTAACAAACTCTTTGTTTCTAAAGCATTTAGACCTGTGCAGCTTTGAGCACCCTATGGCACATGACTTTGCATGATTCAAAAATCATATACTAGTCGAGATTCGAACTTGGTACTTCACCCATTCAAGTGGCTTAGGGGCTAAGCCATGATGTCCAAGTTCACCAGAGACCACCTGACTATACCCAAGGTTAGCCTCGACCCCCCTCGAGTGCACAGGTTCATGTCTCAGCGAGAACAAAGATTATCATGACTTAATCCCTGACTCGACAGCTATAACACAGAAGCACGAAGTCCATGGGGGACTGAAGACTGAAGACCTGGATAAATCAGTACCACAGAGTGGTACACGAACAGTTGAGTATCTTTTTTGCGATACATCATGCATCGTATAATGACCTAGTGCATGTCTTTAAACTGCAAGCACCATTTGGCAGCTTTGAGCGCCACCATTTTGACCTGAAGCAAGTCTTTAAACTGCATCACCTGTAGATACCAGAGGTCCTAGACCTGGTATATGGGGTCTTTACCCACATGTATATATACCAGGTAGCTACACCACAATCTATAGTGACTTCTCCACTGAGAGACTTGACCCCTTAACTGGGAGTCTTGTAGCCTTGCCTACTAAGTTCTCAGCTTGCTGTGTATCCTTGCGCATGCTGCACTAGCATGTAGCTTCTTTATCACTGTATTTAGCAGAACATTGTATTATGGCAAAGAAGACTATTGAGAAGCGATCATGTGTAACAGACCATGTTTTTATTATCAGAGGTATTCAGAATAGTTTAGTGTAGATTGCCACAGAGCTAAATCTACCATGTGCTTTGTTGAGAAGAGTAGGGTGTGCCATTTTCAGAGGGTCATCTAAAGTTGAAGTATTCCCTGCAACAATTCCATCATTATACCATGTTCAATTATTGATGTCAACAATCCTGGCAGTGAAATGAAACTCATCAAAATAAATAATACCACACAAGCGAAATTTTGTACCTTGTTCTCCAATGTACACAGCAGGATCTAGTTGAATCTGCTTCTAATTTGTTATGAATGCTAAGAAGTTAGGGATGTTAGCAAATACATATCTTCTGACCAGCCTTCCATGACAAGTTTGGCATGAAGAAGGGCTTGCAGCCATTCTGATAGTTTTCTTTTTTTTTGAAGAACCCAACTTGACAGAGGACTCTCTCCAGATTGATAAACTGCAGTCCCATAAATCAATAGAAGTGTCTTCTGCATTGATGACAGCATTGCAGTGATGACAATGAAGTTGAATGGTAATGTTGGAAGATGAAGACTGAAGCATAGCAGAACACAAGCTGTAGATGTCTGTGCCATCTTTTCCAGTGATTGAAAATGCCGCAGGGTCTGCAATGTGTAATTTTGCATGGATAATGTCTCTTGCATCTTCCATAGAACATTGACCTATCTGTTCCTTGGTAAAAATGTTAGTGAACTTGCAGAGAAAGTCATTCTGGTTGTTGACCAATTCATTCCATTGATCTGGACAATCTTTGAAGACCTTGAAAAGTATGGAGAAAAGGCTATCATAGGCACAACTGTAGTTGTTCTCATCCCATATGAAACCAACAGGGCTTGAGTACAAGGAGAGGGGTGAAGTGGACCTATATTTTCATCATTGAAGTGTTTTCCATCGCTGACACGCTTGCGTTTCACCTGTTTTTTTCCACCCTGGTCATTGCTGACCATGGGCAAAGCCTTTGTTCCCTTTGCAGGCACATATCCGTAAACAGGTTTGATTTCCATCAGTTTGTTTTGTGCCACTGAGGCCTTTTGTGCATCATCAACATGTTTGGAAGGTTTGCCCAGCATCTGCCAGGGACTGTCAGGCTCTGGGTCATCCAGTGGATATGGATCTTCGTTAGATCACTTTAGTGCCTTGTGCATGGTCCCTTTCCATGCTCTGTAGGAAACAATCAAAGCATTCCTGATTACATCTTTGACAATGTCCGGCAACTTTTTGTTGTATCGAAGGTTTGTGATTTCATCTAAAAGTTCAAGGTCTCTAAATTCTTGTCTCAGTGAACCAGAGATGCCCCCCATCAACTTATGCTCGTCGAAGCCTTGGACAACTATGGTTCCTTGATATGTAGAGCCCCTAGAGAGACAGGTGTATATGGACTGATGAGACTTGCAATTTTGGAGATCACGTACATTGTCAGGCCTTGTGCGACCTTGGGAGGCAAAGTCGGTCATAGCAAAATTGGGTATAACTGTGACTTGGTCTCTTACAATGAAGACCGTTCGATCATTGGGCATGATGCATGTGATTTTCATTAGCTGGTGACTAATAGGGACTACATTTTCAGGTAGTCCTTCCAACTTGATGGGTGTAGGAGCAGAGGTTAGTTGAACAAAGAGGATGTCTAGGGCCAGCTTGTTATCCTCCAAAGATCTCACCTTCCACCCAGCCACTACGCCTTCTGCACCATTGGTCACACAACACTCAGTAGCCTCATTGGTCTTAATCATGACTGGCATGCCTATGCATAGGGTTAATTTTCCGGGATGGTTATCTGTACAGTCGTGAGGTAGATTCCACAAGACTCTCTGAGTTTCAGGGTCTATAACATTGGATGACCGTTGTGGATTTACAGTAGCATGTTTTGCCTTTCTTCTCTTTTCCTCTGCATCTGATCTCCACTTGTCTTCAGAGTAAAATGTAATGAGTTGTTGTCCTATCTCTCTGGCAAAGCGTGTACAGCCAAGGTCGTTAATTTTGTCTCGATACGCATTCCAGGGGGTGATGATGGAGACATTTCTGAATCTGGGCTGATTTAACTTTGGCCTATCTGCAGCATGACCTGCTATACGTCCCTTCAAATGTTGTATGGCTGCCTGGGTGCAGGACTTGTATCTTAAGTTTTCCAAAGCCTTTCTCATTTTTGCATCATCAGGAGTTTGCTGCCTTTGTCTCATGTTCTCTCTCAAGATTACTGCAGTTGTGAACTGGTGCCAAAGTGCTTTGCCTATGGATGATTCTTGTTCATAGTGACTGCTGGTGGTGTGCAGCACTGAGCTGACTTTATGGGAAAACAATGAATGTCCTGATCCTGCAGGGGGAAGCTGTGCAAAGTCTCCTTAAAAAATCATGTTTATTCCTCCAAATGGCTTTCCTTCATTTTTGATAGCTGAGCACATCCTAGAGCATATTTTGTACAAGCTGTGGCAGTCCACCATTGACACCTCATCTAAAAAAAATGTACTCAATACACTGAAGACGCACTCTTACTTGAAGGAGGCTGGCAGCAGAATCTGAAGTGTACTTGCTCATTCCTAGGATAGAGTGATATGTTGAGCCAGCAATCAAGGCAGCGGCTGATCCAGTTGGGGCAACACAGAGAAATCTGTAACCCTCTTTACGTTCATTGAAAAAATGGATCAATGCCTTTATGACCTGAGATTTACCAGTTCCTGCCATACCACCAAGGTACATCTTTAGCTGTTCTCCACTGGGGTCTGTGGCATGTTTGGCAACCATTCTGAACCCACGTTTCTGCTCTTTGTTTAGTTTGAAGAGTGTTTTAGTATCATCAATGAGCTTTTGACCTTTTTTCTCCTTCGCTTTGAAACCCTTCTTGAGATAAGACATGTCAATCACTTTGACCAGATCTACATATTTATTCACTGCAGCTCCTGTTGCCTTGTCAACAACATTGTTTGCAACTGCTTGATCTGTGCGAGACTGTATGATTTCCTTCTTTTTTTCAGCAAGAAGCGATCACCACTCTGAAGCAGTATGACCCTTTCTGTCACAAAATTCAGTAGATGAAAAATGATCTTGAGTGGCATCACATCCTTCGGGAAGGTTGTCCATCTATCCAGAAGTATGCATGATGTTTTCCACATGCATCATGTGCATTAACTGCAATTGAGCCTTGGTTCCCAAGTTATCCCACTCAAAAATATTGCCAAAAACATTGTAGTGTGTGGTGACCTCATCAGCAGCATGTTGTATTTTGTAATCATGATCTAGTGCATCGATATCATCATTGTTCATGTCAAACGGCATTCCACCAACATTTGCTCCTGCTTTCCTCAGCTTTGTGAAGTTATCTCTGTCATCATTACACTCATATCTAATGTGCACATAGTCCATGATCTGTCTCTGTCTGTCAGTAAATTGATGTTGCTCGAAAAGATCATTCCATGACATTATCTGGTCATGTTTGAGGTCGTGTCCTGACCTCCACGGCTTGAATAGAGTTGACATGGTCATGCAGTATTTCTCTCGATTGCCGCTGTCTCTATGAGGCAATGCACCATCAACAAAATTAGAAATCATGCTCTCATCCTCTGGCAGAAACCTTACTTGCTTGGATTGAGATTGAGGGTGGGTCGGCAAAAAGCATGCAGGTTGAAGTTTATGGTCTGCGATATCTGCTTGCTCATCTGCATGAAATGTCTTTACATTTTCTGAGGTGAGCAATAGCTCATCATCACTGTTAGATGAATCTGTATAATGGTGTACCTCGGAAGAGCTTTCTTCATTCTCCTCTTTTGCTGGAATGAGCTCTCCTTCACTTTCTTCATCCTTTTCTGTCTGAATAGAAGTTATGTGGGAAGATGGCTGAAGCAGAAGCTCATCATCTTCATCTTCAGGCTGTAGACATTGTTGCTCATCATCGATGAAAGGTTGGATAATCTTTGACGACAACTCAGGGGCAGAAACGTCTTTCATGAACTTACGTGACTCTTTCTTTACTCATTGAATCCAATCATACAGGCACATTCCTTCGAAGATCGAAGGTCTATATATGTAATCATCTACTGCAGAGAGCACTACAAACTTTCCTCGAGTTTGACTCAATATCACTTTTTCCGGAGGCTCAGGATCAGTGAATATCTTCATTTTATTGGTTGGCTTATCATCGTCCCAAGCAGTACATACCTGCTTCATGAAACTTTTCCACATGCACACATTAAAAGTGTAGTTAGTGTAATGATCTTCGTGTTTCAGAAGATACAAGCAGGCCATTGGTCCTCCGATCTCTGCGCTGGCCATTAATGCATCAACAATTTTTGTCAGTAACATTCATCCTTTCTGTATTCCCTGCGATTAGGTTTTCACTTCTATCAAATACCTTGCAGACGGTTTCAAACATTACATGGGTTTTTAGAGGCATCTTGGTGATATAGTCAGTTACATAAGCAATGACAGATTTGATTGTGGTCCCTGACATGAGACTCATGACGTCCATGTTGCATCGAAGAAGATATATAACAATTGGAGTGAGCGTATTGATCCAAGCCTCACCCTTTTTGATGTTGTGGGCCCCTGTTTCAGGATCAACTGTGGTTTCGGTATAGGTAGTACGTGAAAAACGAACCTTGCAGCTTCCATACTTGTTATCTTTGCATCCGTGGAGACATTGGTGATGATTGGACAGATAGATGAGCTCATCCACCTCAAGAGACTGTTCTTTCCACCACTTTTTCCAGGTTGCACACTTCTGACAGTCATTGTAGTTTTTTTTCCATACAGCGTGTCAGGACCAGTTTGGGCAGGGTAAGTGTAGGGAGTACGTGTTCTTTCTGCGCATTCAAGTTTTCGATGTGCTGACAGATGTCTTCCATTGTTCCGTTATGAAATTCCCCAACATATATGCTTTCAAGATATTCTACGATCTCTCTCTGAAAATCTGAATTGTGATTGAGGATTCTATCTTGGATCTGCTGAGGACTTAGACAATTTTTTATCGATATCATCATATGCATGTGCAGTGTTAGGCATTCTTGCTGTTCAATGGTTCCATAGTACACTGCCATCTCTCCGTATATATGTACCTCTTCAGTTCTGATTCACATCTAGAACTTGTTTTATGAACAGCTTCACCACAAATTTGAAAAACTGAGCACCAGTGACCGGATTAGATGCAATAAGTCACCAGCGCTCATTATCTGTGCAAAACTCTGGTATGATGTCTTGTTTGGTGTCTGCAAAGTAAAGGGTGATGGGATGATTGATATTGGCAGATGCAAAGGTAATGAACCAGGAAGGTGCACCGAGATACGATGTGAGCACCCATATTTCATTACACATACATTTGAGATTTGTCATAGAGCCTTATACTTTAGCTGTGATATGGTCCAGGTCATTTATGATCTTGAAACACTCCTTCTCAGCATTGGTCTCAGGCTTTACAGGGCCATTTCTGAGTCGGGTAATCAGACTTTCCAAAGCAGTCAAAGGCAGGTTGATGATTCTGTTCTCAATCTCATGAAAATTTTGTTTTTTTGATCAACAGGTATCCAGCTGTGGTCGCATTTTTAATTTGTTCATGATTAAAGGCGACGAGAGGAAAATATGGTTCGAGCTGAAAGCGCTTATCGTGATACATGAGCAGTTGTTGCTTCATTTTGGACTCAGACACTCATCTAGACCCACAGACATTGTTCAGGCCTCTCAAGCCATAAGGGAATAACTAGGGAAACATCTAAGGATACAGCTGAGGGTTGTGATATAAGCTTTGAGGATTTTATTGCTGGCCGACACCCAGAACCTTGCTTTTTTGAACTGATGAATAGCCTTTGCCCTTATCGACTGATAATCGTCATCGAGGAGATTGACATACACATCCCCAGTAAGACCATGAACGGTGAATGAACAGGGACCATCAATGGTACCTTCATCCATTTCAAGGTCATTTATGGCCGTAGCTTCTGGAGCCTTGTTCATATGACCATCATGGTAGTCTATAATGACCGGAGGGACATTCTCCGAATAGCTATTGAGATTGTCATAGGATATGTTCAAGTCTACATAATCTTCATGGTTTAGCTTCAGCCACTCCAACACTTCCACAACCTTGTTACGTCTTACCAGAAATTGAGTTCTGGCAAATTCTTTATCTGTGGGTTTGCAAGGGCTGATATATATGAATGTGAGTACTTCATCGAGTTCTTCCTGACTAGGAGGCAAGCTTCGGTAAACCTTTGGCATTGGCATGGAATGGCATATGGTGTTGACGCACATTTTTCACATACCGGATACCTTGACCTGGATTATGCAGTAGTTGTGCTTAACCCTCGATACAAGCATTTTCTCACACCATGTTAGGTCTTGCAGTTCAGGAGGGATCTCACCGATCCAAAGTCCATTAGCAAGAGAATCTGTTGGGAGCAAACCTCTTTCGAGATCTTGTAGACATTCCATACAAACTTGATCACAGTTGGGTAAAATGACCAGTCCTTTCAACTCTGTTATTAGATCTGTTGCACTTTTCTGCTCCTTTCTGATGATCACAGATGCCATTGGCGTTAAGATGGCTAGGTCCATGTCACAATCTGACAGCTTGATCAGAGTTGTTTTTCGTCACAATTGACCACAAACTGTGCACGCAGATTCCAAAAAATTCTCCTTCTCGACGTCTTCACAAAAACCACTATGGTCTCAGTTAGGAGCTCTTTTCTCAGAGGAGATGGAGGACAGCCTTCGCAGTTCCACGTGGGCTCCAGCACACGAAGTCAGGTTTTTCACATCCGTTCAGCACTCACCGTGATCAACTTAGAGTTGAAGACGGAAACAAGTTCAGGACATGACATGCAGTGATGTTGCAGGAGCAGCATTTGTAGTTGTTCTCTGGCTGACTTCCTTCATACGAGGTCGATCTGGTGTGCCCGACATATGGATATAAGGGCATTCTTGGACAGCTTTTGTGCCAACGTCAATAATGGAACATGTGCATAACTGCACCTAAAGCACCATGATACCCTTCCTGTGCATTCAATCCCCTCCCCCAGAATGTCATGAATCTTGGCAAAACTGCAAGATATCTGCCGTTTTAAATTGCATTGAAATATTCAGGGTGACCTCAGAAGAGCTTTCCATTATAATGAGATATACCTCTAACACTGATGGCATGATGTATCTGACCTTATGTTAGCATTTTGAGAAATGAGCTTCAAAATGGCTTGAAGCATTGCAGCAAAAGTGAAGGAGATGGTGTTTCATCAAGATAATAATCTCAAGCATGACTTAGCTGACTTAAAGAGAATACTATTAAAACAATGATATGGCATAATCAATTATCACAGCTCAATTTCATGGATCATCCTTGAAGTTATCTCACAAAAAGATTAGCAAGGCATGAGGAGCCACTTAAAGAGATTACAGAATTGTGAAAGCAATTGAAAAAGAAATGAAAGAGTATTGACAGGTTTGTGCATCAGATTTTGATCAAAAATATGCATGAATGGGTTAAGGCAGTGTTTAAGGCAAAGGGTTGATGACCCAACTACTAGAGTTTTAAAGTTTGTTGGTGACAAAAGTGTATAAATGAGTTGACCTGATAGAGTTGCATATATCTTTAGAAAAAGACATATGCATTCTGCTAACAGATGCTCATTTGAAAGCTGAGAAGTATGGCTTTCTAATACTATTTTAGCAGTGAATATAGCTACAGCCAATCTGAAGATAGAAGAAAAACAGTGAAACTCAAGTTAATCACTATATATTATATTTGGGCTGTGTTAATGATAAGCAGCAGGTGATCTAGTGGATAGAATGGTTGGTACTCTGTGGGACATAAGTCTCCTGAAAGTCCAAAGTTCAATTCCTGGTCTGTGCAGTTTTATGTGCTTTTAATTTTAAAAAAGCGCAACTCCCGTTGTTTTACAAACAACAATAAACTATGATGTGCGCTTTTGTGCAACTAGCTAGTTGCACGATCACAAATGTCATAATGTTATTTGCACATTGTGGCACCTTAAAGCATGAGAATTTGAGTGGCTGACATCTTCATACATTCTTTGACCTCAAATCTTCGCTTTTTTGAGCCAGAAAATGGCCTTCATGCAGTTCTGATTGCGAAGCATCAATGTGTAATTTACCATGCATTATTGGTATGTTCAAAAGTTGAAAAAAGTCGAAATATGGATCAATATACTGTGGTGATGGAAAACTTCAATTGCATCAATAGCTCTTGTTTCTATATGCTCAGAATGAAGGAACCAAAGTGAAGAGCAGTGGAATGTGGAGATCTATTGCTTATTTCTCAAGTAGAGACTATAATGAGTCTGGAAAATGTTAAATCAATCATTGTTTGAGTCACTATACTGAGATACATAACAAAATAAGGAATACTGTGGTTTGAACCACTTTGAAGTCATTGAATGCCTTGGTTTGAATCCCTTTGAAGCCATTGAATGCCTTGGTTTAAACCACTTTGAAGCCATTGAATGCCTTGGTTTGAAACGCTTTCAAGCCATTGCATACAATGGTTTGAACAGCTTTGAAGCCATCAGCCCTTGAGGCATTAACTCTAGCAAAGTCAGTGCTGTGATTGGCTCTGAATATTTGCACCTGTTTGGATCAGCCACGTCGTGCATGTTCAAACTCCGGATTGTATGCCCATTACAAAAGATAACAAATCTGAGTAAGAACAAAATGTAACACAGTAAGAAACTTTTGAAGGAAGGGCCCTCTCCTAACCTCAGGACAGGGGCAGAAAATGAAACCACTTTGTAATGGCCTACTCTCCCATGCATTGCTTAAGTGTCCCACGGGTATCAAAAAAGTCACATAGATGCCCTAAGTGCCCAGTGTCGCATAAACTCTTCCTTCGTACCTCAGGAATCGTAATTTGACAGAATATTACAAATAGATTTTGGTCTCAACTTCACCATTGTCAGTAGTCAATCATAAATCTGTTTTGTTTTGTTCTCACATTAATGGAGCTTTCTTTGTTGTCTTTTGTGGCTGCGGTTGTTGATGCCATTTTTCAGACCTTGTAGTTTGAATGTGGCTCTTCAAATGTCATGCGCTTTTCAAAATTTGTTTGCTGCTGATCACTGCCTTCAAGATGAGTTTCCTTCTCTTCAATGTACTCATTCTGTGATGTGCACATCAGCAACATGCATTCATATCACATTATACAGTTTTCTGGACCTGGTGACTGGTCGATTATTGTTGATAGCAGTTAGTTTTTCATTCCGGTCCTACTCTACACACTTAATATTCTGACATTATTTCAGAAAGGTATCATTGCTGGGACCCATTTTCTGAACATGGTCAGTATCTGTAGTCAGAACTAAAGGTTGCCATTGTTCATTTGGCACAGCACATGTTGTCATGTCTGCCCATGCTTGTGATGGATGAAGTTGGAGTTGGAAAAACACTTGAGGCCATCACGTTGATAGCATATCGCAAACACCTTTGTCATGCATTTGCAACCACAGGCAAATTCTTAGGCAGTTTTGAGAAGGGTAAGTTGCAATATGCAGATGTATCCTGGTTCACTACGTCATTAAATAAATCATTTCTGCAGATGACTTTTAGTACAAAAATGCAGATGGCAGCCAGGGAAATCTGCCCAACTTTTCACACCTCATCATTTGCCTGCTGAGCCTCATCGACCAATGAACTTCTGAAATATGTACATATCTTCAGCAAGATGGGGTCACTGGAGGGCGATATCACCTATGGTGTCGAGGACTCATTCGATTAATAATTTGAACATCGAACATACAGCCTGCTTGCCCATACCACTGCCATGTGAGAAGGATGAACAAATCTGTAGGTTATGTGTAGCTGACCAGGAAACAGTGGCAGGTGAAGGAGGTCAATGATCCTGAAACAATGATGGTCCCACAACCAGTTGCTGTATATCTTGAGATGGCACAACAGCTGATGGATGCTGTTGTTGCTGGACAAAGGAGGCAGCATGTTCTTTCAGGTCAGCGATGTCAGCCTCTAATACATTTACTATGATGACACCATCATCTCTGAAAAAGAGATGATGAATGACATATACCACCATACACTAATCACGCAGGACATTGTAAAGATACCTGGCAGTATCTCGGTTCACTAAGATTGAATGCCCTTGTGGTGCATGCACTCAACAAACTGCAGGAGCATAAAATGTGTCATACTGCATGAACATCTCCATTCTGGTATAAATTGTAGCACCCAACTCCCACAACTCCAGATGCAGCTCAGAAACAAAGATGCCAAGGCATGTCAGGATACCATGCATCAAATACAAGTTACCCTGTGAATGCTCAGTCCATTCTAATCAACGTTAGAATATACATAGAGACTCACTAACAAATCACACAGATCTTGATACTGTGCCCACCAGTTATTCATCAACAAGTTATCCATGAGGATCAGCCACTCAGGTAACAGTGCATGAGTATGAGGAATGTGGCGCTCTATAATGTGGATGATGTTCTCAAGGCGCAAACATGCACCACTATCAGAAATGATCAAGGCCGAGCATGTAGACATTGATGGAGCTGACTGCAACATTGAGTGAGAATGGGAAAATGATGATCAGAGCAGAAAAGTGAGCAGCAGAATGAGAGAGGAGAAAAATGAAGAAGCGGGAATAGAACACAAGGATCACCTACCTTTATGACAGAAAAATGTGAGAAAAGCATGTGAAAGCTAGGCTCACATTTTCCAGACCCTATAAGAAGCAGTGATATCTGATGAAATAAGTGGACAGTTAGCACAGTCAAACTGACATTGCCACTCCAACCTATGAAGATCGGGCTGTCCACAGACATAAAATCTGAAATACAACATTTTAAAGCTGCCTATGCATGGATGAACACTCACGTGAACAATACCCAGTCAGAGAGGATGAGAAACGGTTGACTGTAGCAGAATCAGAGCATGTGAACGTCGAACATAGAAACATTAGAGAACTCACAGAACTCAGCTTATTATCTGGTCACAGAAAGTGACCATGTTTGGAAAATTGAATGCAGCAACGGTAGCGTTAACGTTACAGTGATCAACACATTCCATCCACTTAAACTGGTCACACTGCCCACTCCACGGACAGCAGATGCTGTATATAACATATTCGTCAACATTATAGACTCTAGGATGCACACCCACCTGAACAAAATAGACCCAGTCAAGGCAAATCAACAGTTTTATGGGAGCAAAATACAGGGTGTGTGAACACCAAACCAGATAACATCAAAGAACCCATGGAATCTGTTATTAGCAAGACCGTGCTTTGTTCACATGCATCATATCTGCCAGATGACAGCCATGGATGAACGCACAATTTGCATGATCTGCAGACAGATCAGACCTTGCCCCATCATTGCCTTGTCTCCAAAGATTTTGACTGCCATAGCCTCATACAGAGGAGGAATGTTTGCATCCTCCAAGGAAGGAAGCTAAAAAAGCCATGTCAACTTAATTGCATTCCAGGGGAAAGAACACACCATCTCTGAGCAGAATGTCATGCGCAGCATCTGGGAGTCCTTATCATTGTCGTTCAGGATTTTCTCCAGATGTGGAAATATCTTCCAGTTGCCGTACTTCTCCTTCAGCCATTCCTCGAAGTATTTGCAATCTGGCTGCACATTGTCGAGCTCTGCAGGTTGTTTCTTTCCTTTACCTTTTCTTCCCTTGCTCTTGGCCGCCACTCCCTTTGCAGTGACTTGCTTTAGCCCATCCACTTGAACTTTCACGAGAAATGCGTGAACTTCATGCTGCATGTCTGAGGTCCAACCGGGCAGCATGCGGCCATTGTATGCCTAGTCCCATGAAGCTGTTGTGTAGGCAGTTGTGACTTGCCACTGATTCGACATCCACACATATGGGAACAAAGCCAAAAGATGGAGTACAGCATTATATTTCAGTAGTGAAGGCATGTTGATTGACTTATGTAGGACAAGAGTGGAAGTTGACGCTGCATGGGAGATACACATTCCCCGAATCAGTCACATGCTCATCTGCTGCATGCATGACTTGGACTTCATCTGCATTCATCTTAACTGTACTCTTCTGTGTTATGGTCTGAACAAGTTGCTCACAAGCCCAGCCAGGCCAGTCTCAGCACAGGCAGCATTGATGAAGAGATGTCAATGAAGAAGAAGATAATGGTGCGAGGGTGTCAAGTAACGTGGAGGAAGCAGCAGAGGGAGCTGATGAGGACATGAAAGTGGACATCGTGCAGAATGTGAGCGACACTGTTTCATTGCTATAATACAGGATAAAGTGAGGTGGATGCAGGAACTGGAGAGAAAAGCAAATGATCTTGTCCACCTCATGCTGTTCACGGAAAGCAAGTGGGTCCCACTGAAGAGAGACAAGATTTCGAAGAAAGGTGCGTCAATGTGCAATGCCTACCATTTTCTTGCTCACTTAGCTGCAGTGCTCAGATGCAACATGTGCTCGTTCAAGCTTGTGCTTGCATGCGCACAGGACATCCTGTGCAGGACATTCAGGATGGAGCTGCATGAGCTGCAGACATGCAGTACCTTAGAGAAGAACAAGGAGATGAACAGCAAGGAGAGTGAGCTACTGAGGAATACAGGCATGAAGAAGTGCAGTGTGTGTTTCCCTTGTCCTCATCCACTTGAACCCACTCATGCATCCCACTGCTAGCTTCACTGACCAGGACAAAGACATACATCCTGCACTCGGTGCTGGACCCTGTGATCATCGAACATGCATGCGCACCAGATGCGAACATCCTGGTGATCAAGCATGAGGATATGGTGAACAATGATGAGGTCTATGCTAACGAGAACAATGATGGGCCATGCACATGCTCGGTGAGGAGCATCCTGGCCTGGGAGCAGTCCAATGAGCTGGGCTCAGTCGGCATGCTGTAAATCATACTCGCATTGATCTTGGTAGATGGCCATGTCATGAGAGACAGTACGTGTTCCGTATCATGCTCTTCCATACTCAGATGTCCTGATACAAATGCCAGACAATCTGTGAAGCCTGTTGAAATGCCTCAACCTGGGACACAGTGCCATGCTCCCACTGAGCAGCTGCTCGACAAACACATCCCTCACAGTTGACGCCTACCTCACACAGCTCCTCTGGCAGGGCTACCTTGAATGACAATGCATCAGAGAGATGAAGGGTGTGGGCAAGCATGGGTGCATGTCTGCAGCGGCACTGGCACGAATGCAGTCAAGTGGTGCTGGGACCCATGTGTGATGAGCGAGGTGAGTGAGCATGCTATCACCCAGTTCATGGCAGAGTTTATGTTGGACAGGCCAAAGGTGGAGAGTGAGGATGAGAACACAGGGGATGATGCAGATAGGATGAAGAAGGTCGAGGTTGTGATGAAGGACATCAAGAGCACTGCAGGTGGTGATCCGTTGCAGGGTCTGGTATGAGTGAGCCAGTGCACATTCGTTATTCAATATTCATGTTGTGTCTGTCTCTTATGGGTACATGTAAGTGGGTGATGTCGACTGCTCAAAAACGGTAATGTGGTTGAGGGCCACATGCCTGCCAGATGCATCACCGTGCCCCTCTGTCTGCGCGCACTCCTCATTTAATTTTTGGTCCTCTGCATGCACTCCTCATTTTTGAAATGTCCAATGCTGCAGAAAGTAAGAGTAGTTACACAGAAGACAAACAATGCAAGACAGCAACTGTAGTCGCAGTGTGGGTATCTAACTTCATTCATTTACACTGGATTACTCTCATGGTGAGTAGGTCACAGTACAAACACAGCCAGTGGGGCAGGTCCAATCAAGCATCGTGGAGGAGGTTGAATCTGCGAAGAAGAAGAAAGTGCATCTTTCGGTTCAGTATTTCTTACAATGTAGTATTGCTGACTGTCACTTACTGTATATATCAGGGCCCATGGCTCGCTTGCAATCCCATCACCCGCAGCTACTTGACGGTGTGAGGTTGATCATGTAGGGCATATATACTAATGCTGGAGTGCTCAGAGCAACGACATTATCCGAGATGCCCGAAACAGTGCAGTCTCCATCCTGGCCTGCTCTATTGATCCACTCACAAATCGGCTCCAATTATGGCTCGAACGTGTCGATCCCATCATCATACACACCCTGTACTTCCAGCACCTTGATCCAGCCCTTACGCTTCTCAATTATGGGTGAGGCATGCCCGTGCAGGCTGTTGCTTGGACGAACTGCAGATTCGTGTTCAGCACAAGATGATTCTCAGGCAGACGCCTCCAGGTTGGGCAGTGCAAAGAGCACACACTTACCCACAGAGATGATGTGCTCGATGCTGAGCACATGCAGCATGTATGCATTCCATGACTTTATGAAAGACTCAGCAACTTCACAAATCGACAGACCAGAATACGTATGGGCTCCCAAGATACAAAAATGGTAGCACCCAACTCGGGAAGCTCCCATCGAACCTCGAGTTGTTGAAGCACATCTGATAGTCATAGATTGACAACAGCACAGATGGGTTCAGCATTGTGCTTGTGCACGGCCGACCAATGTCTATATTCCGTGAACAACCAAATCCTTGTCGCTCTCTAACTGTCTCCTCAATGCTGAGCAGTCACGGCATTTAACAGTCCCCAGGGCATTGGTGGTATCACAAATGAGACTGACTTCTGAGCAGCTGGAGGATGATCAGTAGCATCGCCACCTTCACCAGCTTGATCAATCACAGCGGGACTCCAGACTTGCTTCTCCTGTTGAGATCCCAGGATGACACCCCTCACCATTTCCTCTCCTTTCCCCTCTCGCTTTCTATCATGCCTTGATTCTCTTGAGCACTGGCAGATCCATGAAGGATGACTGCCAATTCTCATTCTGCAGCGTGAGATACGCCTCGGGTGATGAGATCTGGCATAGCACCATCAAAAGCGATAAGGATCTTGCATGGATGCATGAGAAGCAGGATGAGCTCCTTGTACATAGAGGTTGAAGTCTGGCTGGTGGCACTGGAAGATGATGAAACTGGTGAGGGAACAGATGAAGACAGGAAAGTCGCAAACGTCGACCGTGTGCATGTATATGCGCTTGAGGTTTCAACTGGGATGAAGGAAAGAGAGAGCTCGAAAAAGAGCTGAGTGGTGGCAGCAGAGAGCGTGGCATGAATCCCGTACCAGGACCAGATGCATGGTGCTCAGCATATACATGAGGCAGTGGTGCAAGCTGCGCCCTCACAGCAATGAGCATGAGAGGCACAGGCAGCTGCAACAAGCCCTCCAGGAATGTGATAAATGGTGCAAGCACATTCATCATTGTCGCTGTGCTCGGTGGCGAGCTTGGGAATGGGAGGTGAATCACAGAGCATGCATCTGAAGGCGGGCACACCTCCTCGTCAGAGAGGTGGCTTAGCTCCCCATCGGTCCACTTTGCTCGATAGAATGAGAGCAGCACAGAGACATTGTTGACCTGAGCATAGATGGTGTGCATCATGCTCTGTGGCTTGAGCTTGATCGACACCAACACATGAAGAAGTGCCCAAGTCGTGTCAGGTGCAGTTTTGTGCATTGTTTGGTTTGTATCGATGTGGGGTAGCACTCTGGATGAGACCCCTTCCTCATCCTATCCTGGCCAGCTCACCTCTTACTCCTTGCAGCCCTGGTGGCATGCACATGCTTGACGACGATGACGACAATAACAATGATGATGAAGACGACGATGAAGACGATGATGAAGATGATGACGAAGACGAGTACAATGATGCCCAATGCATACCTCCTCCACCAGTTTCTGCACCAGATCGCAGCATGGGTGGTGGTCTCATTCTTCACTGAAATTCGGATCATCGGCAGTGAGAACATCCCCTGCAATGGCCCCATTATTGTGTAAGTCATGCATCATATGCTCTCTGGCTCGACATCCTCCCAGAGAGCCTTCGACACTCGAGATGCTCTGTGAAAAGCCATCGAGAGGATGCAGTATCCTGCTGAACATGTACATGTTATGAATGCTGCCTCCTGTTTCACACCGTGATGCACCATGCTAACGTGTGACACCCCTCAGCATCGCAACACACCACAACATGATGATCGACCCTGCAATACTCTGTAAGCACCCTCTCTCTTTGACTTCCTCTGCATCCGTCTAATCCCTGGTAACAGCAACAATGTTCCCCTACCACCGGATCCTCCACTTCTGGGCCAAAGGTGCGCATCTCTGCATCTCCATCCACTCACCAGCTACAAATGCATCATCTCAGCCTCCTTATTCATGAACCCCATTGCAGACTATGTCCTCCACTCAGCAGGCAACATCTCAGTCGACTGCAAAGCCAAAGACTGCAAGAAACTCTTTCTCAGCACATTTGACGTGCTCTCGCACAGACACGCCATCATCATCTTCCTCGAAGGCACATCCTACACCAAGCTGCACATCGTGCAGGTCAAGAATGGCACAGCCTGGGCTGCGCTTGAGTATGCCAAGTGAGCATGCAAACACCCTGACCACATGATGCCCGGTGCAGAGAACGTGCGTATTGTCACTGCCGCGATCATTTACACGAACAAGACAAAGTACTGCAGTAATGTGAATACGTTCGCTTTCGTGCTTACTGCCTGTACTGACATCTATTGCTGACAGGCTATCATGGAGTGAGACTGCCTTGTGTTGGTGTATGAGAAGTTATTCATCCATCATGGATTGTCTATGTTTGGTCCACCCATGAGCATTGATCCATACCTAGAGCAGTTCATGTCCACCAAAGAAGGTGCCCCACACTCAGCAGTGAAGTGACTAACTGTCGCGCTTGAGCAAAATTTGATCGAAACCACAATCAATGCACTGGATTGGTACGTATGGTTTAATTTCTGCTGGTCCAGTGCTGATTCGCTGCAGGGACACTCTGTATGCTGCACGCATGGCGAGGGATCTGCTCTGGGACAATGAAAAGTCCATCAACCTCGATGAGTTCATCATCATCTCACAACCGTACATGCCTAGCCTGCTTTCGTCCATTGCAACTAACCACTCTCCCTAGCCTGGTCGATCTATTCTCCACACCCGACTTGGTTCTAAATTTTTACAGCGATTCGACGGCATCTACTCACATACTACTCACTACTCCAATCTACCCACCTCACTAATTCAGTGCTATCCTCACTACCTCTCCCAGAGATGCTCGACCCTCATCGCACCATCCTGCTCCCAAGTAGACTGTTTACACTCACCCTGCTCATACGTGATATGCTTGCCATTGGTGTAAATGACGGTGTTATGCAGCGGCTTGATGGCGAGCCAGGATGGGTTCACTTTGATTGAACGGAAAGGCTGGAGACAAGTTCAGATTAGACAGTGATATATGTGTGGAACATCAGAGAATGGATTACGCCATATCCAGTGACCAGGACGTGGAGGGTGCCCTCATCAGCGAAGCGGGGGGAGTCTGAAGGGACAGGCATGGTAGGTCAATTGGAGATGGCATATACCCTCATAAATATCTGTCACAGCAATTTAATGAGTCATATTATCTATCACATCACCCCTGTCTCTGCCTCCAGCCACAAAGCTTGGCCCTTCAGCATGTGACATGCATTTTGATCAAATACGATCAAATACACCGACTCGCGAGCCTCGGATGCAAATCCTCGCCACTCGTGACCACCATTGATCAGACCATGATGAGCTCTGAAGGTGCATCTTCCTGCATCATTTCTGCTCGTATATCTCACACAGGACTGCAGTAACATGGTGTGTGTCTTCTCGCAACCTTCAAGTTGCGATGGCTGACTGCTTTCTAGCCCAGTCTGCTCACGCAAAATCCTTGAGAAGGACATCAACCATCATCTGGACACTGGCTGTGCTGAGGATGTTGACCCAGCCTCAAAAGCAAGGTGAGCACCCCCTCGTACACAGCCCAGGACACAGGCTTCCATCGCGTTGCTCTTCAGTGGGACACAGAAACTGCATGCAGCACCAGCCGGTCCTTTGCATGTGGCTCTGACATCAAAGGCTCATGGAAAGAAGAGGGTTCAGACAGATGAGACTTACGCATCTGCTGAAATGGTACCTTCGAAGCAACCAAAGACCACCTCAGTTTCAACCACCATGACTTCTCGCATGAATGCTGCTGCTCCTCTTGCTGAATGCCTCCGCCCAACTAAGTCTTCAGTCGTCAAGCCAGATAGCCTCTCCAGGCAGGTTAACCATCATATTTATCTCAGGATCCGTGATGGAGATGAAGAGAGGTGCAGGCATTTCTACAATTAGGCTGCTCCTTGCTGGAGAGTCGTCGAACTCAGCCTGAGGCATGCCCTTGCTCTGCTCCATGAAATGAGTAAGAAGGGAGGGTAGAATTAGAGTAGAATACTAGCTACAGACATGCAGGGACGCAGCACTACTTTCTCACAGCATGCGAAATTGACAGTGTGTTCACACACACAGCAGCTCCTCGGTATCTGAATCTGAGCTCACCCGCCCTCTGTATGTGTGAGTGGGACATCTCACATGCACACCAGGAGATGAGGCAATGTCTTCTCCATTTTTGTGGGTGAGGCCTCTAGAAGGCAGAGAAGAAGATGCACTAGAAGGAGAAGAAAAACGAAGGCGAAGCTCCATGCACCTGCACTTCTCTGTGAGGAGGGAGAAGGGCTGAGTGCTGACTGGTGACTGGTTGACCCCTCAATATCAATTGTTAGCTAGCGCTTGCACTGCACTGTCTATCAACTTTGTGGTCCCGCAGTTGCGCACCAACTGTTATGACTTGTACTCATCACTAGTGCATTGATGTATCAAAATTTTTAGTATCCCAAGTCTACAAGCAGTGAGGGCATAACCTCTGCAACAAGGGATGAGCCAATTCACATCATACCAGTATCGAGGCTCTGTCAGTTCTTATGCTGCACTCAGATTGTAGTACAGCTGGTATGCATTAGATTGGAAAGGAGTTACTTCCATTTGACAGTGACATCAGCGAAACCATTGCCATGTGCACAGAACATATAGAATATAATGACATGACGGTGTAATTCGTTGCAGATGGAATGTAAAAAGATTCTTGACTGAACATCAGAAATGATCAGGATGGCCAATTGATCAATGCCACTTACCACTACTGCCGTTTGGCCTTCTTCGATCTGGTACCATCAACCTTGATAGCTGTGTTGTCTGTGATGCACACCAATGCTGACTTCACCTTCAACCCCTCACCTCCCATCAAAGCCTTTTGAATTGCCTCGTGCCCCATCCCAAAGGGTGTTGAAGAACAGCTGCCATCACAAGTCCTTGACTCCCATCTCCTGCTGCAGCCGGTCGACAATACCAACGGCACATTTGTACTGCGTCTTATCCCCCATGTGGTCTGAGCCCTTGAACTCAACGCCTCCACCGGTCAACATCTAGAAGACAGTTGGGCTTGGCTGCATGAGGGTAATGATCATGTTGGTGTGCAATAACTTCACATGCACAGAGTATAGTGGTCTTTGCTCGGTGATATAGTAGCATAGCGTCGAGTGTCCACTGCTCATAAAGGATTTCCAGGCTCTTGCTTCTCTTCTACTGGCAGCCCATCATCTGCGGCTGAGACAGTAGTTGCAGCATTGGCCAGGCTGGCAAAGAACGACTCAATTGAGCCCTGTCGAGAGATATGCGGCACCACATGATCATTGTGGGAGAGGCAACCTAGATATATATGTGATGCGCAAGCAGAGACATCACGGAGAGGTTAGAATGCAGAGACGTCTTAGGCGCTTCTATCAGCACAAAGGTCATGATGCGCGGAAGCTGCAACAGCTGCTCGCCATCATGGATCAGTAGCCCGTCATGGCCTCAGTAAGTCGTTCTTCGACTTACATTAATATTTCTGCAGTGACTGAGTTGTACAGCTTGCAAACACGTCCTACAACACAGTCGTCAAGCGAAATAGTGAGTCCGCTCACGTTATCTGTTTGCTGCATGCAGCATAATTCTCGAACGACTTCACTAGGCATATACATAGGTATACATGTCCACCGTGGTTCATCTTCACCAGTGCATATATGTTTGATGTTGTATTTGACATCGGTATTACTGCATTCTGGGATCATTGGAAAAGTGGATGCTTGCGTTTAGTTGCATTTAGTTGATTGAGACATGTATTCTTGCTTGCAGTCCCACAGAAGCAGTGGAAAAATATTTGTGACAAATATGTGCAATGATTGTGCAATGATCATTGAATCTTACATATTGCTAGCCAACGCAAATTTACTTTACTCTGAGTCAAGTCATGGTGTGTCTATTACTCTGAACAATGTGCCTCCGACTGCTGCACCAATCAAGCCTGCATCGGGTTCCTTCTTGCCACATTTTACTTCCACTCACATTGCTATGTGAAGCTCTATATGCAGGCATCGCACAGTGCATGGCATACTTTCGGGTCAGATTTCTGCCTGTCCATCAGCTGGCCTATGTATAGATTTAGATCTGCAAGGTGACGATCGAGTATAATGTGTATACTTAACAGCAGTGAGCACACCTATGGACATACCACTCTTCACACAGTCAGTTCTTGCTGAAGATTCTTGAATTGGCTGCAAATCCAGCTATAGTTTATCTCTTCTTGCCACTGCCTCTTCAGCTGGTCGAGCGTCTCTTGCAGGACGTGAACCGAGCAGATTCACTCTGGTTTGGGTTCCTGGAGAGGGAAAACCCAGTGCAGGACATAACACAGATCCAGTGCAACTCGCTGAAGTCAAGCGCAGATAGTCTTTGGAGATCTCTTGCAGCATTCTGACAATTATGTGTTCGGCATGCTCTGCATGCATCCTGCATCTTCAATGAAACATGAGCTGGCAGGAGCATCAGATTGACACACCGAATTGGCTCCTAGATCATAGGCATCATACATAGGAGTGACACAAAGAAACTAGAGTAGGGAAAGAATACAAGGCCTGAGTGGGCACCAGCACCCAGCCCTTCCGACGTTCTATCTCGTTCTCGCTGGAATAGTGCAACTCTGCAGTTGAGAAGGGCAATGTCATTTAGGTCGAGAGAAAATGGAGCTTTTTTCTTTGATATGGACGTCTTCTTAAACTTCTCACCGGTTGACAAGGGAGAGTTGTCATTCCTGTGTACCATGCCATTACAACTGGTGATGGAGGAATGCAGGCATGCCCAATGACTTTTGCTTGAGATTCGTCATTCTGGTGAGTGTCAGCAGAGGCTTTGACAGCAAGCTCGATGGGTTTGTAGCCATTATTCACACATCAAAAATGAGGGAGGATATGCACACCTGCGCAGTTTAACGCCCGCCCAGTCCATCTTGTGGCTAAAAGTATCAGTCGTTATCTGTATTAGTTTCACAGACCGATGTTGAGTCCTGCCTTCATCCCAAAGGGGGTGTGGAGAATGGTCAATGATGGGATTTTGAGACTGGAATTACCCTCTGTGAGGCCCAGCATGTTGTCGATTGTGCCAACATGCTTTGGGATAGAAAACATTTCATGTATCGAATGCAATAACATGTCAACCTCTAACAACGCTACTTGGTGCATGAGTGATAACCAAGGTGAAGCTATTGGATGCAAAAGTGATAACCATCAGGCTGATACACACCCCCACTACAATTTGTAGGTCGGAGAAACTGTCAGAAGCAGATCGTTGAGCTTGCTGATTATCTTTGCATTTGTGCTCCTTGGATACCACATTTTAGCATCAAGCATGGTGTTGCACTTGAGCAACTGTGAATCACAAGCCCACATCCTTGACCAACAATTTCGAGATGATATTGCAAGCTGCAGATGAGGCGTCACTTTGGGGATGTATCTCGTATATTGGCTTAAGACTTACCATCAGCGCTGACAGAAACCGGTAAAAGGTGCATGCGGACTGTATAGTATTTCCTATCGTGAGGATTCATCTTCGAGGAAAATGGAAGATGACCACATGACCTAGTAAACGCATCACCATACGAGACGATAGCATCCCAATAAATCACCCACATTTGAAAAATTGTCACTCCAAGTGCTCAGCAATCCACTTTGTGCATGTGGCTCCCCTCAATTGTTTGATATCACTAATGCAAGTTCAGGCGACATATGTGTGGTAGTCCCAGCTTTGCTCTGTAAAGTGTCATTGGCTACACCGTGTCAGTGAGATCTTGCATACAGTCTCACCCGAAGTTGAGTGCCAGCAAAGATTTTGGCTGTACCAAAGTCAGCAACTTTAACTTGCAGCAGTTGCATATCAACGATGAGAATGTTCTATTGTAAACAGTTCATCAGTGGAACAAGGTCATAGACCATAGCAGGGAGAATACTGATGGCTTGATATCCCGATGAATGATATTCTTGAAATGCAGATACTGGTATAACAAGGTGATCAACTCCATCACAAATATGTCGATAGCAAAGCAACGTACCTCCAGAGTGGCACATACTTGCCAAGTGATGATTTGAGCTCGAGATTCATCTTGGTTCAGAATGGCCTTATGTGAGCACAATGCACTGTCAGACAATTGCATTCACACTAACTGAGGCCATTCCTTTCGATGAGCTTAGAAAGATCCCCCATAGGAACGAATTCCAGGACCATATCTGTCACATCACACATATCAGTGATGACAGCAACTAAAGACAGTGACATACATATGGATGAATCCTCCCAGAATAGTTCATCAAATCGTACAATGTGCAGCTGAGAGACATGCATTAAATGCACATATCATGTGATAGCAATGAGATGATTACATGGCACAATCTGCAGACTATGGCAGCTTCTTTTTTGATCAATTTCAATTGAGTCTTAGTCAGTTTCATTGGATCACGTGCTGTCTTGACCGCATGCAGTTTTCCACTGATCTGATTGTGAGCTTTGTTCACATTACCGAACCCTCCTCTCCCTAAACTGCAACACGATTAGCAGCTATTGAGCTCATTGATATTGCACATACAAGCAGCCCATGCTGTATGTGTGGTGAAACTATAGTGATCACCATATAGACTGACATAGACATGTAAGAATTTACATACCGACTGTGCTGTGACTTCAACAAATGTAAACGATCACTTCAACAAATGAGAGTCACCCTGCAGCATGCCTTCAGGGTCATAAGCAAGAGAAAACATTGTTTCAGACTTTAGTACTGTGGCCTCCCCATGGTCAAGCTTCTTGCTGTCCACCTTGCCACGAAACACTATCAGAAGTCGAAGAATGTGGGTGACGAAACCCTTACATATGTGTAATTCTGGCTCAGATTCTGAATGACGATAGCCACGAATCCATCACTTGCCCTCATCCTCCGAATGATGCAATGAACATTGTCTATTTCAATTCAATATCAATGAGAGAATGCAGTAATGATGCAACGATTCAGCAATGAAGGCTGACTCACCGATGTCATTATTGTCATCGTCGACAACTACAACATCACATAGTGGCCCATGCTTCCCAATCGTGACCTTGTCTCTAGTGAGCTCAATCTCTTTTTTGCAGCCAATGAGCCTGCCATACAAGGGAAGAGAATTAAGAGAATGGAGTGAAAGCATATCTTGCGAGAGTGATGGTTGCACAGTCCCAGGGCTTTGTGCCGGGCACAAAATGGTTTATAATGAAGAGTGCCAGCTCAGTGCGATCTGTAGCATTCTGGAAAGGAAAGGACCATCTGTCAGAAAGAAAACGTCATAGAACTGCCTAATGAACCCATGGCCAGATCATGTCAATGCTGTCTAGGCTCAGAGTGCTCAGCATGCCACAAGGATGTAGGCATGCAGATCAACTTAACAAGACAATCTAGCCATGGTGCACGAAGGGTGGGCAGCATGTGCCAAAGATTCAAGATGACATGAGTACAGATGCAGACACAGGTAGTGACATCAGCAAAAAGTCTGATCACCGATCTGGATAGAAATGGTAGTCAGTACCGCTGCCATATTGCAAGAGCAGACATTTACAGATATTGGCAGAAAGTCCTCCATAGGGTCCGGTGCTGCCATGCCTGCTCATTTTCAGTCAGGTATGTATTTTCTGGCATATACTGTAGCTGACTGCTGGTGATAGATTTGTGCAGATATTGTAAGGTAGGATTGACATGCAGAAGGCTGTCTGAAGCATATGCACCATATATCTAAAATCCAATGCTACAATGTGGGAGGCCATAATATTTATATAGAGAGAAATATAATTTATTGTTAAGTAGATGGTATAATGTATCATAACGTAACATGAAATCAAACCGCAAAAAGACCTGGTACTGTGTGTATAGGAGTTCCGACTCACAATGTGGCAAAGGGGATGCCAGCATTGTCCTCATCCTCATCTGAAGCATCCCTACCAGCGCAATGTCGCGGTACCAGTCATGGTCGACGTCACCATGGTGCATAGCATACTGTTAAGCTCAAACTCTGTCAAACATAGTCACACTATATATAAGCCTTCACTCTTGTTCAATTCACCTCAGTCCATTTCTCCCACAGCACTGACAGTCTCAACAAATACCCACCCTCCACCACTGCATCACCATCTTCCACTTCATTTCTTCCTCAACGATATAGCAAAATTTGTCGCATTCCTCGTCTCGAAGTTCTCGTCAGTTGTAACTTGTGACTCGGAAACTCAAAACCCGAGGAACAAACACTGAGCTTACTAAGCACATGGATGAGGAAAGAAATGCACTGCAACTTGGCTGCAACTGTGACTGCATCATGTTTCTTCTCCTCGTCAATGTCTTGCCATCTGCTCACATTGGGGTTTTCTCATCGCAGCTTGTTTCGACAGGGTTTGTGTCTGTCCTCAGATGACATGACTGAAGGAGCGCGGCTGCATGCCACCAGAGGGAAGTCATGTAAGACTTAGCAAGCAAGTGGTATCGAGCTGGTTGGCTGTACCGGGGAACCTCGTGCTGGTCATTGACCTGGATGATGCTCTCGAGCATCAATGTATTGTACGTAAATGTGTTCATATGGCTGCATATGTGGCCTTTGTCAGAAAGGTGCTGAAGGAGGATGGTATGCAGGGGGGCCAGCGAACATAGGCTGCACAGAGCCATCTTTGCCTGGCGTGCATTCGCTAGCTACATGCATGCAGGTGAGTGTTTTTATCAGTGTGCTGCTCACTGCACAAAGGCACATATACTCACCATCAGCATATCCTCCCCCTTCACACAGCGTCGCATTGTTGCTCATCCATCCTCACTCATGGGCATCGACAGCACGTGGATGAGTAGTGGTAAGTCTTTTCAAAGTCATGCCCAGCTGCTCCTGCATACTTCTTCTGATGTCTGGGGGCACGTGCAGGCATCCTGATTGCGATCACCTTGCTGCTTTACTTGCTGCTTTGCTTGCTGCTTTGTGGGAGCTGTAAGGGTGAATCTCATAGGCAACTATTCAACAAGCCTACACACATTGCAGCTAAATGGTTATGTCATGGCCTTGCAGAAACCTCAAGTCACAGACTCTCTGATCACCATGCAGACCTGTCCGTCGGTGCTCCCGCTCACCAATCTGAACTCTGAATTCCTCGTGTACGAGGTCGATTCCTGGGTATGTCTATATATGTGAGAATTTGACCTCCTGAGCCTTAACTTACTCCACTGCAAATACAAAAACAGACATTCGACATCCCTCATGACTACACATGAATGCAACATGATGTCAAAAGATGCAGGGGCAAAGCGGCCAAGCGTGACTTGAGACGGCTCATGTTCGCTCCTTCATGTGCTGTCAAGGTCCGTAAACTGCTGAGAAAGGCAGTGCTGAGAATGTGGCTGACATCTGTTTATTTACGCATCGTCGAGGTTCATGGACGATAAAAGAGGCCGTGATCATTCAAGATGCAGGCGTGTACTCCAGACGATCAAAGAAGTGGTGCCGAAGAAGAGCCAATGGACGTGGCTTCACAAGGCTCACATCTGCTCGTTCACGTGCTGTCAAGGTAAATGAACAGTGGAGAGGATCCTCCTTGGCCATTCAGAGTGTGCCCATATCTTGAACGTTAAAGAGGTGGAAGAGTTATGTGAGTCCATGCTGATATCGTTCACGTCTCCATCTCCCAAATGTAGATCACACATTCATGTTGTATCATTAAAATAAATTTCTATCAATCCTAACAACAACTACCATATCATGGCTAGTCAATCATTTGTCTTTCTGGGCAATGATTCATCTGAATGGCTGAATTTTCATCTGAGAGTGCTGTGCATTGCCCAGACCTCAACTGACGGCTGAGATATTGTCTGAATTCTATCTGCCAGATGGCAGCTGATCTGTACATTACCTGATGACATGAAGATATTGACTACCATTGTCTGACCGGTGGTGGTAGGCCTGGCCTGATGATGGTAGTCAGATCCTAAGAGGTTACAGATCTGACTTATCTGTCAGTCACCTGGCAGGTGGGGTAGTCAATAACAGATAAGGTACGTTGGGCATAGTCAGGCCCAGATCGGCAGTCGGACTTTGTGCTGATGGACATACAGGATGGTTGGAGGCCCTCCAACATTGAGATATGATAAAAGGGTCAGAGAAATAATTAACTGCTGCACATGCTGACCTGCATGTGCAACTGCTTCTTGTGTCGACCCTGCACAACATGTAAGCTGAGTCAAATCATTAATATGACTGTTACGGTGTGGCTGACATTGTCCAGCCAATGGCAGTGCTTCACTGCTGAGCTGCTCTAGATCATGGAATGATGGAGCTGCAGCCGGGCCAGGCATGCTGATAGTGTCTCACTCCTCCAGTAGCTTTAGCCTGGGCCTCTGCATGAGCATCCCTCTCACCAGCTGTGCTTGTCCTCTGTGGGCGGGCTAGCAAGTTCAAGGTGCGTGAGCCCATAGATGCACTCAAGTGGGAGGAGCTGCACCACATGGTAGATGCAGAGCAGGATGGCGGAGACCCGGGAGATGGGGAGGATGCCATTGAGGACCTAGGGTAAATATGCGTCAGCTCACTTCTCTTCGACATGACTGAGTGTGTGTGCTGATGAGATAACTGTGAAAATGTGGATCAAAGCGCATTTCCATCGGCACATAATTTGGCATGACGAGCCCAGGACAGTCCACCAGATGCACGTCATGTGTCCAGAAGAGCATCTGTAAGTGTTTAGTCTAGCGTACCAATGCAGTGGAAGTCAGCGAGTCTGTGTGACAATGTATTCTTGTGCCGCCAGCATGCGTACCTCACCCGGTGTCTGTGACGCGTACACCTTGTGCATTTCAAAGAGCACATTCAACAATGAGGACTTGCCTACATTTGGCTGGCCTGGGAAGAGCATGAGCCAGTGCGGATGATATGGTTTAAGCATGACCCACCAATCACACCAATTGTTAGGAACTGTGATTCACCTTCCTCTTCTTCTTCTTCAAATTCTTGCTCGCCTCCGATCTCGGATGTATCCTCAGGATATTGAGGTGCACGAGCTTTGGCGGCTCCACCCACTACACTTCCAACCTTCCCTCTTTCTGTTCTCAGGACAGCATCCCAGTCAATTTCTCTTAGAACACGAAGTTCCCAGCACCGTAGTTTCTCCGCTTGGCTCCTTACATGGGCGGGTGGCTCGAGCAATTCCTCATGTGTCTCATGCAAGGCATCCACTAAGGTTCTGTGAAAGCTGGTGAGAAGACGAGCCTCGTAGGCAATTCTTCTACCCGTCATACTGGCACCTTCCCTCTCGGTGTACAATTTGATCTGCATGACATATTCAAATAGCGGGTCCACGCCTCCACTCGTGTAAGATCCAAGATGTTGACCTTTGTAAGGATGATGATCATTTGTATTCACTGGCATTGATGGGCTTTGATAGATAGATGGCGAGGGAGGGTGGGTAGTGTAGGAGCGGGCAGCAGGAGTCAAGGAGAATGAGGATAATTTGAGAGATCTCAGTGATGCACCAGCTGAGGAGAGTGAGGCTGAGCTATGGATCGATACATCAGAAGAAGACGTACAGCTGACACCAGACTTCGAGGTTGCGCTCAAAGGAGATTGGGGCGTGTGGCATTTCGAGCTCGGGTGTGGACTCATCGTTCTCTCCTTTCTCAGTGACACTGTCTGCGAGCTCCACCTCTGAGACTGTGCTGCACCATGAATTGACAGCGGCGTTGGTCTGTGCAAGCCACTTCCTCTCGACCTCCCTCTTGCTCATGTCATATTTTCACTTGGTCAACTAGGACAAATCAAATTCATCTTGATCTGTCCATCAGCATCAGCGACCAGTGGTGCCAATTTGCCAATCTTGAGTGCCGTGCTGCATGCTCACCAGCATCGGATAAAATGGCCACTTCAGGAGGGATGGATCATGTGACTCGCAGCAGGTTCATGTCTCCTCCATGACTTTGGTAGGGAGCTTGATGAGAAATGACTGACAACGAGCAGGTGCTGCGGTGCTGTCCGGCTCCATGCTGGATGTCCTAGGGCCAAGGGAAGCCTTCTTACTTTTGCGACCATGGCGGTCGAGCTTGGGCGGGGGAGAGACATCATCACATTTGACAGCGTGCTTGAGCTGCAGCTGCTCGTTATCCTGCTTTGATGAAAACAGACTTTGTGATGTATTGCATCCTGCTATGCAGATATAATGTAAAAGCAGTGTATTGTGTGTCGAGGAGGACCGTGACGAGCAATGGGTGCCTGCAAACCCATCTCGATTGGCGTGCATGAAATTAATTTTGGCGAATTGTGGCCAGTAGCATATGGCAAGAAACTCCTATGTTTTTTACATCGATGTAAATTACATGTAATTTATATGTAATTTACAAGGTATTTTACATTGTCCTAAAATACTCATGTCAAAAATGTCAAAAAAGGGTCATCACGTGCACCTTCGTACTGATGACCGGGCAGGCAAAAGCTGGACAAAAGCCAAGAGAAAGAACTCAAACAGGAAAAAGCCAACAGAAAGAATTATGGAAAGCAGGCCAGGTGTCGAAAATGAAGGGAGAAGCCGGCCACATGCTTGAAACTTCGCTTCAATGATTAAATCTGATGCTTTCATTTTTCATGCAACTTGACGAGTGGATTGGGTCGGGAAAATCCTATGACAGTGCACCTTCCTATGTGCATGATGCATTCCTCGAAGTTCTCAATATACCAGGACCACTTGAACATGCTTTATTCCTGTCACCATCCACATCTGTCCTGTCATTTCTTGCAAACACCCTACCACCAGTTTCCAACGGCAAGATACCTCCCCCCCCCACATGACACTTTGCAGCAGTTCTTCAGTCTCACAACCCCCACCCTTCCTCACATTGCGACATTACGAACGCTTCCACTGCCACTACAAGATACTGTCAGAATGCTGCTTAAAATGGCCGGTCAGCAATGGCTATCTATATAACCCGGGCCGAATGTAACATTTGGCCTCCCTCCGTGCGCACCTCCTAGCTCCTCGCGATCATGTCCTATCCTCTTGAAAACAATCTCATTTGAAAGCCCTGCTTCGATTCTCAGGGTCACAAAAGGGTTGCAATCATTCGACACAATGGATCATGCGCGAAAGCTTGCACAATCAGGTAAGTTTTTGCATTCTGTCAACTGTGACTAGAATATTTCTAAAAACTTGAGCAGGTGCTCTAAATTCCGTTTTTCTTTTGCAACCCCTCGGAATGCATATCCTCCTCATTATATTAAAATTTCAAGTATTTTCACCGTCCGGTTTGTTTTCTATGCATTGTTCTTTGAGCTCGCTCGATAAGCGCCTGCTTAGCGCGTACCTCATTTTATTTTTTTCTCGCCGTACATCCACTCTATCCCCTAGGCGCTGCTTGCGACCTCTTGCTATACCATTCACCTATATGCATGCCACAAATCTCCGCGAACGGAGCCTTTTGCAACCCTCCAGGACCTGTACTTAGATCCGCTCTTGCTGCCGCTTTCACTTCCTAATCGGAGAGACTCGTGCCTGTTCCCACTTCTCACCTCTCACCTCTCGCCTCTCTATCTCAGACCTCAGCCTTCCTCACCATGCATTCCTCGACATTCGCAAGTATCGTACATGACCGTGAAGGACGGAGAGGCTGTGCTCCATACATGCGGCCGGACGCTGAGGTCCGCAGGTAAGTTCAAGTTGTCATTTGAGACTCGACACGCTAACAAACGTTTTCTTTTTTTTATCAGTCTCGACGATTGACCGCACTGTGTTGTTCACGGTGTGGTTTCTAGTCGATCTTTCTCACCTCTGCCCATCATCTGGAGATCCGAGTTGTACTCGGAAATCCACGTGTCTTACAACAACATCGCCTCGAGTATGATGCGCGCCCAGAGGCCACTCGCGATGAGGCCGACACACACCTCCACATCATCCCGGAGGCATGGACTAGGACAATCACTGCCTCAGTACCGTGGAGGTCACCTCCACCGACGCGCGCATGAACTTTTCGCGCCTCATCGCGCACGAACCACCCGTCTTGCATCGCCAACGTACCAGCTTGTCGGTCACGCTGTGGCAAGTGCATCCTCGAGTACTACGAAAGTGGATGTGAGGGACTGGCGAGGCCGTTCCCAGCAGCGTCGGCTTACGCGCGCTAGGTTCCTTCCTGAAAGGCTACCCCCACCCTATTTATCTCTCGCGCCATGCATGAATCTCGACAACACGCAAACGAGCCAGCACGGGTCCCTGCAAGCCCCATACCACCATTCGGCCACCGGTGCACCCGCATATTCCCTATCTATATAACCCGGGCTGAATGTTACATTCGACCTCCCTCCGTGCGCACCTCCTAGCTCCTTGAGATCATCTCCTATCTTCTTGAAAAGAATCTCATTAGCAAGCCCTACATCGATTCTCGGGGTCGCAAAAGGGTCGCAATCAATTGATGCTGTGAGGCATGCGCAAAAGCCTGCGCAATAAGGTACATTTTCGCACTCTGTCAACTGTGAATAGAATATTGTCTAAAAGCTTGCACAGGTGATGTAAATTTCTTTTTTTTTCTGCGACCCCCTAGGAATGCATATCCTCCTCATCATATAAAAATTCCATGTATTTTCACCGTCCGCTTTGTTTTCTATGCATTGTTCTTTTAGCTCACTCGATAAGCGCCCGCTCCACGCGTAGCTCATTTTATTTGTTTCTCACCGTACATCCACTCTATCCACTGCGTGCTGCTTTCAACCTCTCGCTGTACCATTCAACTCTCTCTATGTCAAAAATCTCCGCGAACGGAGCCCTTTGCAACCCTCCAGGACATGTACTTAGATCTGCTCTTGCTGCTGCTTTCACTTCCCGATCGGGGAGCCTCGCGCCTGTTCCCACCTCTCTCCTCTCACCTCTCGCTTCAGTATCTCGGACCTCACCCTCACTCACTGCACCTTACTGGCCATCATCAAGTGTCGTACCCGATGGTGAATGACACAGAGGTCTGAGCTGATAGGTAAGTAGTCTTTCGAGAATCGCGTGCATTTCTCACCGTCAACGCAGCGTCAGGAATGCGCGCACATCTACAAGGCCGGCCCATGGTCTCCAGCAGCGCCGTGGCAGGAGGGCGAGGTGGGGATCTCACGGAGCGTGTAGGTGAGTGAGAGCGGACGTAGGCGGGGTCTTTTGCACACACCAGATGAGTCGTCATCAGTCTGTATCGCGCGCCGCACTGGGGTGCATGCACTCACAGTTTCGTCGTCCTCTCTCCTCTTGTTAGACCACCCCCGCATGCTCTGCTGACTCGACGACCCTCACACGAGCCCACATGAGGCATCGTGCACCTGCGCTCCGCGAATCGCCCCTCTCTTCTCGCCTCACACAGCGACCAGCCGCTCGCTCGCGCGTTCTTCACCACCACGGCACGCGAACCGGCTGCGCTCTCTGTTCTTCGCCACTCAAAACCTGACGCGATGCGCCGATTGTGCAGGCCTGCCACATCTGCCAACTCTCTCTGATCACCACAGTTCTCGAGCGTGTGGACGCATGCAGGAGATGGTGACTCGGTGGTGACGACACTCCAGGAGGAGGGAGGGAAGGAGGGATGGCATTGGATCAGTGCTGTAGGTGAGTCACGGTCGCCCGCATCAGGAAAACATCACTTTTTCTTTTTGGCTTCTTTTTGTACCTTTTTCTTACAAAAAAGGCAGAAAAGAGAACAATGTAGAAAAAGCATGAGGATCGGCTGATTCCTCACTTTCTCATGGCCTTTTGCTTCCTTGACGACGCTTGGCAACACTGATTTGCCCAAAAAGTTGTCGTCAAGTCCATTAAAGGAACAAAAGCCCAGAAGCCTATCAGGAAATTCCAAGGCAGATTCTCTGACCTTTTGTCCTTGAACGGACTTTTCACAAACTTTCTGATCAGAAAGCAACCAAAAAGTGCTCAAAAAGAAGCGAACAAGGCAAATTCAAGCCGATCCTCACACTTATTTCTACATTATTTTCTTTTCTGCCTTTTTTGTAAGAAAAAGGTACAAAAAGAAGCAAAAAAGAAAAAGTGACATTTTCCTGATGCGGTATTGCGCGTCGCCCCAGGGCGCATACACTTACCTTCCACACGTTTCCCCCCCTCGTGCAACCAACCCAGTGTGCTCTGCCGACCTCGACGACCCTCGCAACAGCCCATGCGCTTTCCGGAGCGCCTTCCTTGACTCCGCGGCAACGACGAGCACGCTCACACGTGCTGAATGGCCATGGTCCTCTCCTGTTGCCCATGGCGTACCAACACGAGCCCCCGCCTTCGTCCCTTCACCACGACTCATGAATGCGCAGATACATGCGAGGTCTGGCAATGCATCAGCAGCGACACAGGAGGAGGGCGGTTGGGCTGGAGGGCTGCTGCAGGTGAGTGTCAGTCGGTCTGTAATATCGCGTGTCGCACCACGGTGCATATACTTACCTTTCAGACATCGCCCCCTCTTGTTCCACCACCCAGTGTCATCTACCGAGCTCGAAATGCCGTCGATCACCCCTCCCTTCTCGCCTTACACGATGACCAGCCACCCGCTCGCACGTTCTTCACCAACACGGCATTGCTTCTCCACCACCACGGCATGTGAACTGGCCGTGTTCCCTGTTCGCCACCACTGCCTTCCCAGCACCCGATGCGATGCGCCGATCATGAAGGTCTGTTCCATCCGCCGCCCACTCCCTCGTCCGATCTTCACAGCTCACGAGCGCGCGGACACAGGCAAGAGATGGTGACCTGGCGACGGTGACACCACAGGAGGAGGACAGGTCGTTGGGTCTCAGGGAGCGGGTATGTGGGCCAGAGCGGATGTAGGGCGGGTAGGAACGGGTTTTCAGGTGAGTCGCCGTCGCTCTCACTCGCGTCCTTCACCAACACGGCGTGCAAACACGCCGTGTCCTTCGTTCACTGCTACCACATTTCCCGCACTGAATGAGATGACTCCACCACATACGGCCACGCTATCATCACCATTAATGTAGCGTCATGAATGCGCGCACATCTACAAGGCCAGCCCACCGTCACCAGCGGCGCCGCAGCAGGAGGGCGAGGTGGGGATCTCACGGAGCGCATAGGTGGGCGAGAGCGGACGTAGGCGGGGTCGTTTACACACACCAGGTGAGTCGCCGTCGGTCTGTATCGCATGCCGCACCACGGCGCATGCACTCACTTCAGCTCGCTGCGCATGGCACCCCGCCATCCGGATTCATCCACGATGAGCGAAAGCGCACACGAACAGCTTGCGCAGCTCACTCTGCCTCACGCTCTGCCAGTCGCCTGTCTCCTCTTGCCCCCTCACGTCTCCTTCACCACCAAGCAGTGCAAATGCACCGCCGACGCTGGAGGATGTGCCGCTCACGCTCCGCCAGTCGCCCGTCTCTTTTCGTCTTATGGCCACTCACCCCCCTCACGTAACCTTCATCACCATGCGGTGCAAACGCGCCACGTTCTTTGTTCTCCATCACCACCTGACCTGCGCCCAACTCTATCTTGCAGGCCTGCCCCACCTGCGACCACGCCTGTGCCGGATGACCGCCACTCGTGAGCGCGAGGACCTATGCAAAATTCGGCCACCCGTCATCGGCGGCACACGAGGAGGCCGGCGTGCAAGGTGATGAGTGAACGGATAGCCGCCTCGATGACATGCCCGCCGTCCTCACTCATCCGCACGCTCAACCGCTCTCGCATCATCCGTCGCAGTACACGGTCATCCCGTGCACGCGTCATCGTTCACAATCCCCTGATCGACGCGAACGTGCATACCATCTCGGCGTGCCACCCAACCATGTGCATTCACGCTCTCGCGCATCATCCTCGCTGTCCGCGCACCTCTCGCATTAACAGCTGCACCCATCAGCCTCTGCGTCTGGTCTGGAAGTCTCGTCTCTGGGCAGCTCTGGTGTCTCGCCTTTTCCTGGACACAATGCAGGCGAAAATGCAGTGGGTGCCCTGGGGCCACTTCCTGCACCTGGCCAGGTGCCGACATATGAGATGTCTAATGGGACACTGACAACTTCTGTGGCACCGAGTCATGCAAGCCATGTCAACAGATCAGAAGTGATAAATATATTTTATATTCTATTTTAATGGGCTGCCTTTGGGGTGAGTATACCATGCCAGTGAGCTCGTGTTGACTGTATGGCATGTACATTCGGATGGGCTGGCCACCCTTGTCACCACCATGCGACAGCTTGCAGTAGCGTGTAATGCCCGTGCATCTGCATCGGCCTCGGCGGTGCTGCGCCTATCCCTGAGTGCGGGGAATACGCAGGAGGCACAATGCCCGACAAAGAAAAGAAATATACAATTAATGGAGGACGATCTTATAAAGAGCTGAATAAGGCATACTAGTTACCATGTATGGAATCAACATATTATGAGAATAACGAAAAGGACCGATAGGGCTCACTCCCCGATCGGGGAGCGAAGATAACTGACATGTCCATATATTGCGATCGAAATGAGCATTAAACATGTACGGCTTTCTCTATCATGCTGTACAGCTAGATTGCAAATCTGGAATATTGAATGAATGCAAGAAAAATAAATACAACGCATGGAACAGCTCAGAGTGCAGCAACCATTGTTAATCTGTGACTTAGTCATAGAGAGAAAGTGAGTGAACGTGGTGGCAACCGGTCGTGTATGCAGTGTTGGGTGGACGGTTGGGAGGTTTGAATTGATTTCGAATGCGAAT